TTAGACTGAGATCATAAATTTGAAAGTTTTTGTGCCAAAAGTTGAACAGAAACTATTTTATCATCATTTTTTTGCAGAAAAATTTATGATTATTTTAAAAAATAAAAATTTCCCAAATTTATTATTTCAGTGACATAACTATCTATCTACTCAACGTGTTTATTTTTCGTCAATAATGACATGTATTGACTATTTCCATTCTAAATATCTTGAGAACGGTTGCTCGTAGCGATTTTTACAAAGATATATTTTTTACGCAGAAAGTCACAGAGATGTATACTTTTTCCCTCGGTAGTTTTATACAGGTACGAACAAAAAGTTATTACGCTTCAAAACAGTTAAAACACATGTAAGTGGCGCCCTCTACCAGTAGGAGTCATATTGACATCAAAATCGAATTTCTCATGTCAAAAAACTCTTAGACACCAATTTTCATCCAAATATTGACGTTACTTCAGAAATTATTTGGAAAAAATCGAAATAACAATGAAAATTCTACACCCTGTATCTCTCTGAAACTAAGCATTTTAGGAGATATATTTATACGAACTTTTTTACTTATTTTTATCTGTAGAATATGCTGCCGAAGTTTCCGGAATACAGTTCAGACCACCCTGTATAATTAATAATTACATACAAGATATGACTTTTAATACTTTTTGTGCATGTCATAAATTGACATGATAAATAAATTACAAGGGTGTCTTTAGAACTAAGTTCGTCCCTGCCCATAATCCATACGTTATGAGCTCTGGTTATGAGGTTTGTAACGCACACCCGATGATTTTTCTTTTCTAGTAAAGTGGCAGCTAGGTCTTGACGGCACGGCGTAATACTCATGTAGACCGTCGTCATACACTGTTAATTCCCGAAGAAGCGTATACGAAACACAGGTGCATTGTACTTTTAAATTTCACCCTTGGCTTATCAAGCGCGTCACCCTCGTAGCTAAACCGGCCAAGAAGCAGGAGAAGAAAATGCACACGGGCTTTTTGTTCGGTGGCGGTGATTCGAGTTAGGGGAGACTGGGGAACCTTATAACTCAGGTCTACAGTCCTTCTTGAAGCAGTGAAAAAACAAAAAAGTTACGGCCGAATTTCGAAATTCTCAAGGGAATCAAATTTTATAAGGTATTTTTCGTTGACCAAGAACTATGAAAGTTGACAAGTAATACCGTCTTATATTTTTTTTCCAACAAGGGGCCGTCCTCTGCCGGAAATACTGCGACTTGCGAGGCCTATTGTGTTTGTCTCCTTTCTATATCTGCAGCCATTCTCCTATCCCTGTGCCCTGCAGTAACTTACGCAGGTCCTTGATAGGATGGGAGCATAGTTCCTCCGGTTCTAGCCTAGCTTTCCCAAATAAAAAGTGTCGCTTGCGATCCAGAGCCTCGCAGTGACATATTATGTGCTCCGCTGTTTCAGGATCTTTATCGCAGAGTCCGCAGCAAAGACTTCCTTGATACAGGTTAAGCTTGTTCAGGTAACACTTGACAGCCATATGTGTCCTGTCAAGAGGCCTGTTGTAATCCACAATTTATTCCTGCTAAGCATCAGCAGTTCTTTTGCGGTTTTAGAGCTAGGTCCTTGGATAAAAGCCTTGCTGTGCATGTGCCCCTGTCTGTTTCTCCAGTGGACATTCTGCTTTTCCCTGATCCAGACTTTTAGTGCACTACGGGGCATACATTTGGGTATTCCCAGTACTTGCTCTGGACCAAGATAGGATGCCGATGATCCTTGCCTAGCTAGCTCATCGGCTTTTTCGTTGCCTTGGATGCCGCTGTGGCCCGGCGTTTAGGGAAACTCTTTACCTCCGCCGGTGCTGCCACCATCGGAGAATATCGGCGTAAACAACTAGAATATACAAATACACCGCAATTTGAATAACGAGTATATAAAAAAAGTATTATTTAATTATTCTAAAAGTGTTAAGAAGTACAATTTGTGTAGATTTTAAAAATAAAAATAAAAAAGTAAATATTTTGATATCTCCAGAAGGTCTATCTTGTATTATAATGTATTATTCCAGTTAAACAAACTTTTTAGATGAGTTCAACTACGGTAGCGAGCATAGATTTAACCACCGGTTTTGCTAGTGCGGCATAGGCCATGTTCCTCGAAGAATCTCTGACTAGTCAGCGCGTTTCTTATTGGTTGAAATGCGTAGAAACCTGACTAACAATCAGGTTTCTACGCATTTTAACCAATGAGAAACGTGCTGACTAGTCAGGGATTCTTCTGGGAACAGACCTATAATTGGGGCTATTTTGGCTATGACGAAATTTTTTAAAGGTACCTACATAATTATAATTTTATAAGATGTTCATAAAACATTTAATCACTAGTTGATTAAAAAAAGTATACCCATTAATATTGCAAATTATATTTTATCATCTCATAGTATATTATGTCTATTTAATTTTCTGGTTATGTAACGAGCACTTTGTTTAATCACTTGTTTCGTCGAACTGCTTGAATCCATTTTTGCTTTTGATCAAATCGGTGTGAGAAACTATGAAGCTATAAAATGTTGTTTCGGGAGAGTTGAATATCCGGGAAAGTTGAGATAATGAATGTTATTGCAACCAACAACGCCCTAATTACGCTCTCCTTTACGCGTTAACATTTTTTCGGCAATTTTATTACCATTATTTGAAATTGTCACAACACAACACGACTCTTAGTTCGAATTCTTTTTCACTTATTTTTTATTACCCGAAACAGCGTTACATCACACAAACCCCTCGTACCTGAGTGTTTTATAGTCTCAATAACTGCACTAGCAAAAAACTAAAATACTTAAATATTATAACAAAAAAAACGATTTCAATATTATTTTAATGCGATCAACATGACGGCGGCGTGAAATACATACTGATTATTTCTGATTTCTGCCGTTGAAGCGCTTCGGTCGGAATTTGTTGAAATCAACTGAAATGCACCCAGCCTATACATTATAGCAATTAAATCATAAAAAATATAGTCTTCTATTACAAATTCTGAATTGAGTTAACCGTGTCATGTGGGATATTGTATGAAAAGGCTTTACTGGCACAAGGTTAAACACACTTGAATTCATTTTAGGATGATATTTAAGTAAAAAAAATAACTTTGATTAGGTTGCCTAAATAATTTGAGTATTAACTATCTGAGTATTTGAGTATTAACTAAATTTATGTGGCTTCTGTAACTTCGCCAAAAATTGTTACTTATTTGCTCCGGTTTCCCCTACAATTGTATAAATCCTCGTTATTTCGGTGAAATTATGGGGAAAACGACAATTTAAGTAGCTGTTTCTAGTCAACAAATCGCTCATACTTCTAAGTATCTAATTCGAATACTAGAAATGTAATAACTTGTCACGAACAATAAAATAGATTTATTTAATATTTTTACTTCTTTATGAACGTTACCGTTGGTTTGCCAACCGTAACGCCCTCTTAATTATGAAAGGGGTGTACTATGTGGAATATAAAGTGGAATGGATAATCTAGTCTATATGCAGGTTGATTAAAAAAGTTATATCAAACGACAATAAAAGGCTCCAATTATAATTCTAATTTATTTCCATTATTCATATTAGTATCAACTGTGTCCAATGCGGACATATCCAACTTAGTTTTAGCATATTCTATTTAAAATTAACTATATATATATCAAACTGGTTTTAAATAAAGATATGGGTATATCCCCCCTTGTGTATTCTCAAGTTATTTAACTAGGGACAGACGGGTCAAAGACCGCTGAAGGAACAGGAGCTGGAGTATTTGGGTAAAGACCAAGAGCAAGCTAATCCTTTTCCTTGGGTAAACACTCGATCAACCGTATTCCAGGCAGATATCTTCGCCATTCTACAATGTGCGAGAGAAAACAATAGAATAACAGCTTACTATTCAGGTAAGCTCATCAATATATGCTCAGACAGTCAGGCGGCACTTGGGGCGCTTATGAACCTAAAGGTATCGTCGAGCAGACTCGTCTGGGAATGCCTGGGTGAACTGGGAGCTCTGGCACGAAGGAACAGAATTAAATTATTCTGGGTGGCGGGCCACAGCGGCATCCAAGGCAACGAAAAAGCCGATGAGCTAGCTAGGCAGGGATCATCGGCATCCTATCTTGGTCCAGAGCCAGTACTGGGAATACCCAAATGTATGGCCCGTAGTGCACTAAAACTCTGGGTCAAGGAAAAGCACAATGTGCATTGGAGAAACAGACAGGGGCACAGGCACAGCAAGGCTTTTATCCAAGGACCTAGCTCTAAAACCGCAAAAGAGCTGCTATTGGGACCTATTGTATTGTCAAAATTAAACGCTAAAAAGAAAAAAAGTTATATGATGTATGTATGTAAGGATCCTATGTATGTATGTTCTTTTATTGTCTAGGGGGAGCGTGTACAAGTTTTCGAAAATGTAAAAAATAAAAAGTCAGAAAGAAATACTTTCGTTTTAGATATAATAATGCATGTGCATGCGCCTCACGTGTTTCTGATAATGGAGGGATATTAATCTGCGGGCTGGGGATAGCCAAGGGGGATAGCAGCATGGTTATCTGTATTGTGGGGATAGCCGTACGAAGGGGTAAAATATGAGAAAAGAAAAAATTTTTTCGAGTGCATCAAATATTCAAAAGAGGATGTTAAATAAACCCTAAAGAAAAGCTTATATTAAGGACTAACACCGCACCAAGTAAAGAAAGTAAAAAAAATCAATAATTCAAAATAAATGATTTTTGGTCCTCTCTAATACTGTAATTATAATAAAATTGCCCATTACTATTATTTTTCAAAGATATGTAGATAGAGATAATGATAAGAAGAAGTTATGCCGGATAGTCCTGGCAGCTTAGGCCTATAAATTAATTTAATAAGAAGAAGAAATCAATGACAATAAAATTTGACGTTAAATTTTTTACGTATATTTTATGTTTGTCTTATTTTGTTTCGTTGACGAAAACAGAAACAGATATATTCAGAACTAATCCAAAGCTATTACAAGAGCAAAACAGAATTTCTGTTGATTTCAAGCAGCGGCGCCCGGCGCAGATATATGACGTGTCTTTTTCAATTTTTCAAGCATATTTTTGAAAATAAAGTCAAAATTGATTATAAAATTATGGCCCCTAAAGAAAGTGATACCAAAGGAAAGGAGGAAAAGGTAAGTATTTTATAAAAGCCATATTTAAAACTGGTAAAATTTATGTTTAAAAATAAGCTATAACAGATATAAAATATTTTACAGCAACCAGTAAAAATTAATAAATGGGACAGTTCTGCAGTGAAGAATTCTTTGGATGATGCAGTTAAGGAAGTATGTTCGTGTTAAATTAATAATACAATCTTCCAAAGAGATCATATTACCAAATATATGTTATACTATAACCGGATAAAGATCAAATTCACACATGTTAATTTGTAGGTGCTAACAAAAAAATATAATTATGTTGAAAATTTTGCACTTATGGATGGAAGGCTTGTGATTTGTAGTATAGCAGTAGGGGTAGCAATGTTTGCTCTGCTTTGGGATTATTTGTATCCTTTTCCTCAGTCAAGGTAAGGCATTTAAATTTTAATTCTAAATTTGTCTTGTTGCTTATTTTAATTTTATTTCATTTTAGGCCAGTTTTGATATTTAGTGTACTAACATATTTCTTTATGATGGGTGTTTTAACACTTTATCAGTCATATAAGGAGAAAGGTATTTTTGCTGTTTGTGTACAGAAGGAAGGAGCAAGGAAAGGAACTGTTTGGGAAGCAAGTTCTTTTATGTCTAAATACGATGATATTTATGAACTTCATTTATCAGTAAAAGATCCAAAGTCGAAGGCAGCAGCTCGAGAAGCAAAATCAAAAAAGAGTTGTGCCAATTTTATAGATGTTAATGGTTTTGTCTGTCGTGATATACTAGAAAATGAAGTTTCTAGACTGCACAACTCCCTCCTCAGTGAACGAAAGGATAAATAGCATTTCAAAATTTATCTAAATATACCTATCTAATTCCATTTATTGTTAAGTGACTTTTTATAAGACTAATTTATTTTTCTTTTTTCGAACAGTGAATGAATATTTAAAATGATAGATTTTTCTTTTATATTGAATTTTTTTCGTATAAGATTATATTTTGAAAAACAGCGTTTTATTTAAAATGATGATAAAATTGAAATAACTATTTTGTTGAGTATCTTTTTATATAAGAAAATTTGATAAAATTGAAATTTAAATCGAATCATATATTTTCTTCTTTTATATCTTCTCACCTCCATAACGTTTAACTTCCCTGAATCATATTAAATATAAATATATGATTTGAGTAAGTTTTAGATTATACAGAGAAGGCTCGGATAGTATATGTCACCTATTTTTACTATTTTTTACCTGCTGTGGCATCGGCATTTGTAAACAAAACAAGAAAATTACCTAAATAAGTTATTTCTTTTTTATTAACAGGACCAACTTTTTCAGAGAAAGAATTGTTAATTTTTCTGTGTTTGTTTTCTCAGTTTAATTTACTATTTAGCCGGCAGCTATATGTTCTAATTAATGAAATTTCTAATAACTAAAAGGTAATTTATGTTATTTTAAGTGTATTTTTTACTCTATTTTATTTGTTGCTTCTACCAATGAATAATAATGGAATCAGAAGATACTAAAATATTTAAACATCATAAACAACAAGAATATTGCTTGACTAGGCCTTTATATCGACAGGGTAGAAGACTAACAGCAGTAAAGGTAATTAAAACATAAACCAGAAATATTTTCGGTAACCATATTTTCTTTTTAAAACACTCTTATGTTTTAGGTCTACACAATTAATAACGAATCTCAACATTTATGTATTTATGGCGTTCCATCAATTGGTTTACGTAAAGAACTAAAAAATTTGTTGACCAAGTATGGCGAAGTCTTAAATTTAAGTTTGGTGCCTGATGTAGAAACAGAAATATTTACGGAATGTTTTCATGCACATTTCAAGCGTATTCAGTCTGCTAGAGTAGCTAAAAGAATATTGGATACCAGGTTAAACATTTATACATTGAAAGGGAAATATTAACAGTTTTATTTTAGATCTTTTTATGGAGGTTTGTTACATATTTGCTATGCACCAGAACTTGAAACTGTGGGGGAGACAAAAGCAAAGCTGTTACAAAGGAAAAAAGATGTATTAAATAGACTGCAAAACAACAGATAACAGTAATTTATAGATTAAGTGTATTTAAGGGTAAACCAAAAAAAATTACTATTTATTTTAGTAAATGTGATATTTGGTAATAAAATATATGTATATTTTAAATCTAGTTAGACATATACAACACCTATTATAATACCTATTTATAATAACTTTAAAGTTAGTTTAACTATAAAAATCTTATATTTTTAGTAATATATTACATGACTATAGAGACCAAAGCATGCCTCTATATTACAAGGTGTAATTTGTATATTATAAAATATTAAGGGATTTCTTAATTTTTTTCTGGATCCTACATTTTTTTGACTTAATTTATTGTAACAATTATGTTAAAGAACAGTATGAGGCACATCCACTTTGAGGTGCATGGTCTTTGTTTCCCACATGAATATTATCATTGTAGGATTCCCACAATCCAGGCGTTTGAATAATCTAGAAAATTCAATATTAGAAAACCATATTTGAATTCAAAGAAAAAATAATTCACTTTATGTACTAATTCTTCAAATGCAGCCTGAACACCATGTTTAGTTTTAGCACTAGCTTCAATATAAAGGGTTTGATGTCTCCTGGCAAATGCCATAGCTTGCTCTCTAGTTACCTCACGATTTTCCTAAAATATTAATAAACATTGGTCATGATCATTATTTAATATATTAAGGGTACCATGTCAATTTTATTGCCAACTATCATCTTAACAATATTTTTTTTTGTTGAATATGTATCTAACTCATTCAACCATGTTTCAAGTTTAGCAAATGTTGAATAACTGGAGATGTCAAATACAAGAATAGCTCCTTGGGCATCCCTACAAATAAATATGATAATTTTCTGTTATCATTGTATATCACATAGAGAATCCAAATTATCCAAAAAATATTGGAACAAACCTATAATATGACGGTGTTAAAGTTCTAAACCTCTCTTGTCCAGCAGTGTCCCAAATAGCTAATTTTACGGCATTCCCATCAACAGTTAATTTCTTAGTTTTAAAATCGACACCGATTGTAAGCGTTTGCTCCGGGTCAAAATTGTCTTCAGTAAATCTCAACAAAAGACTGGATTTTCCCACACCGCTTTCTCCTATAATTAGAATTTTTAACGTCGTTATAACATCTTCGGCCATTCTAGATTAATGAAAGGATAATTTCTATATAAAAAAGTATAAATTACAACTCGAGACAAGCAGTTTTAGGTATATGAAATTTAACTTGGCATAATTAATTAAAATTAGTCAGATTTGCGTTTATAAACAAGTCACTGTCATCGCAAAAAATAAGTGTCATGTCATTTATCATGTTGATTTTTTAGATAGTTTAGAAACCATAGATGGGGGATATCCGATACTCGTTAAAATAGCATATGATACTAGCAACAATTTGGTTTAAGACCACAGCTACCAGAGCTATCCGGGTGAGTGATAAAAATCTATCCTTTGTTAATTATATATGATACTTCAAATTTTTATTCTGTGGTACGAAAAAAAAGATGAAGATTTTTGGAATAACCTAATTAAATTTGTTTATGTAAATCGGAGTATATTCTTTATTTATGTATTTGTTTTTGGGTTTTTTGCCTAAATAATAATAAACTAAAGTCCTTTTTAACAAACAGTAATGTTTTACCACGTAAGCAGTATAAAGATTTGAAGAAATTAAATGCATTACAATTTTAACAAATTTTTTAGATATCTTTGGAACATGAGATTCTCCTTCATCCACAGTATTTCGGGCCCCAGTTGCTCGAAAAAGTTAAAACTAAACTTTACACGGAAGTTGAAGGAACTTGTACGGGAAAGTATGTAAAAACAATGTTTTAATTCAGTAGTATATTAATTATAATTATAGATATGGATTTGTCATAGCAGTTACCACGATTGATAGTATTGGAGCAGGACTAATTTTACCAGGTCAAGGATTTGTTGTCTATCCAGTAAAATATAAGGCAATCGTTTTCCGACCATTTAAGGGAGAAGTATTAGATGCAGTTGTAAGACAAGTCAACAAAGTAAGCTATGATTTGAGGCTAAATTTGTGTTATAAAAGCATATTATGCACTTTTCCATTCATTTGTAATATGCTTTTTACAACCCTCATGTTATATTATAATCTGGTTCCATTTTGCAGGTTGGTATGTTTGCTGAAATTGGGCCTTTGTCTTGTTTTATTTCACACCATGTAAGTACTAGGTAAACAGTATTTCTTTAGTATAAATATATTCTTTTATAGTCTATACCTTCAGAAATGGAGTTTTGTCCTAATGTTAATCCACAATGCTACAAAACTAAAGATGAAGATGTAGTTATTCATGCTGAGGGTGAAATACGATTAAAAATTGTTGGTACTAGAGTGGATGCCAGTGGAATTGTAAGTGTTAAATAATTGCTTAATATCATAATTCAGTAATTTAAATTTTCAGTTTGCTATTGGAACACTTATGGATGATTATCTAGGACTGATAAGCAATTAATTTATTTGTAAATAGGATTTTAGAAAATAAAAGTATTTTAAGATTTTTTTTATATTAATGTAAAAATGAAGGCAAAATAAAAGTTACAGTTTTATAAGCTAACTTTTATTAAGAATAACATAATATTTCTCAAAGTAACAAGCTCTTGTAATTTTTAAAAAAGAAAATAAATCTAACTTGCAACATTAACATAAAATAAGGGATGTTTTCAAACAAAATACTCTTTAAAAGTTATTTCCTTAATTAAAACAAAAACATCGTTCGTTAACAAGATTTAATACAAACATTAGTTTCAATGATTTGCAAATGTGTAACAAACTACATAGTAATTAAAACTTAAAACAATAATAATTATACAGTAGTAATGGCTATGATATTGAAGATTTACTTCTGTCCTTCCACTTCTATGCTACTATTTGTGTCGTCCAATATAGGAGTTTGAGGCCTTGACACAACACCTGGAACAATTTTATCATCGTGCTTAATTTTTCCACTATCCGCACTAGGTGGTCGACTTTTACAGGGTTCTATAACTTCAGTTTTTTCCAGACTTTCTATGGATTCTGATTTTTTAAGGGGTTCAGTAGAGTCTGGAATCTTTTGAGACTGTTCAGTAGATTGTTTATTTTCAAGAGGTTCTGCCTCAGGTTCTACTGGTTTTGCAATTTCAGGATTTCCTGCTGGTTGTGTATTTTCAAGATTTACTGCAGATTCTGTCTTTTTAAGAGGTTCTGCCTCAGGTTCTACTGGTTTTGCAATTTCAGGATTTCTTGCTGGTTGTGTATTTTCAAGATTTACTGCAGATTCTGTCCTTTCAAGAGGTTCTGCCTCAGGTTCTACTGGTTTTGCAATTTCAGGATGTCCTGCTGGTTGTGTATTTTCAAGATTTACTGCAGATTCTGTCTTTTCAAGAGGTTCTGCCTCAGGTTCTACTGGTTTTGCAATATCAGGATTTCCTGCTGGTTGTGTATTTTCAAGATTTACTGCAGATTCTGTCTTTTCAAGAGGTTCTGCCTCAGGTTCTACTGGTTTTGCAATTTCGGTATTTTCTGCTGGTTGTGTATTTTCAAGATTTACTGTAGATTCTGTTTTTTCAAGAGGTTCTGCCTTGTGAGGTTTTGGAACATCAGGATCTTCTGGTGGTTTTGCAACTTCAGGAATTTCTGTTGATTTTATTTTTTCAGTCTGTTCTGGTAATTCTTTAGTTTCTGTGTGTTGAATTTGTTCCGTAGATGTACTTTCAGTGCCTTCCTTAGAGAGCTGAATATCTTCTTCAATATTGTCTTTGCAACTGTCTGGATCAGAATGAAGTCCAGAATCATGCTGAGACTCTGCGGTAGGTGGTTCTTTTGTCTCAATGCTTTGTAAGTTGTCTTCTTCAGTATCATTTTTTAAAGTCACATCACTGTCACTGGAGGTATGTTGGTTATCACAGGTTTTGTCTTTATTTTCACTGTCAGCTTGATCTTCAGCCACATCACTTGATTTTAAACTTTGTTCAACTTCATTGGAATGGTCGGTCGATATATTTTCATTTTCATTAGCTGAAATATTTCAAAAAGTTATTTTTAAATTTCTAAACATGATAGAAACATTTTACCTGCTTCATAATCAATTACTTGATCTTCACTAATTTCTAATTCTTCAGTCTTGTTTTCTTGAGAAATGTTGGACGAGTTTAAGTTAGTTTTTGATCCTCCCAGTTGAGGTCTAATATCAGATTGGTCATAATACAAACGCACCTGATCCTCACTTATCACTTCAATTTGAAATTTAGTGTCTAAAAAATGAAAAAAGAGATATTTTTGTAATTAAACACAGTTAAAATATCACCTTCTGGATAAAGCTCGGTGAATTTCTGATTAGACTCCTCATTCCAAGTCATACCGGGCATAGGTTCCAAACTAAAACTATCTGTGAGAAGCTCTCCGTTCTTTTCTAACTGGAAATCATCCAAAGACTTGAAGTTTTTACATGTCCGTCTTGAGTAACGGGTAAAATTTTTTGAACAATATTTTCGCCATTGAGTATTAATTCTATCGTAGCTGTTTCGCCGCTGGTAATTTTCTTCATCTCAAATATAGTTTGCCCTAATAAATATCAGATTAGGTTAAAATATTATTATTTTAAAACCGGTTAATACCTTCTGCAGAAATTTCGGAAAATTTGTCTTGTGCTTCTTTTGTCCAGTATGGTATACCTTCTGGCCTTTGAAGACAGCATTTTTGGCCAAGAGGTGAAGTAACAAGCAAGTCCTCAGGTAATTGTCTAAGACTGCTGCTTACACATGAATTTCCATAGTCGATAAATAGTAATTCTATGCCTGATTAAAACAACATTTTGTGAATTATTAATATATCCAATTTTATATTAAATTTTCTACACATTTAAAAGCCCCCTCAAAAGTAATAAGTTGCTTATTAATGATGCGCTATAATCACCCTGTATAAGCTGGTATTATTTTTATTACGGCAACGTAATTCAGGGTATATTTGGGTTTAAAAACTTAATACATTTAAGGAAATAACACATTAAAATTGATATTGCATTTCCACAAAATAATTTTAAATTGAAGAAGCTCTATAAATTAATTTTAAAAGTACCTGCAATTGTGTTTGATAAAATTCTAGCTCTGTACCACATCTCATCATCAGGGAACAGTGCAGCACATAGGGTACCTGGTGCTAAATCTTCAAGTTCTGGGAAATTCTCGGCACCAGAGAGCTGACCAAAAAGAAATAAATTAAAAACAAAATCTTTTGATCTCAAAATTATCTAGTACACTAACTTTTTGAATACATCTAGACTTTCTATTAATTTATTGCTAATTTTTTCTAATTAACCAATACCATAATACAAAAAAAATCTGGGCGTCAAAGTAGTAGATTAGAAACACTAATTATAGAAACATTATAAAAGGATAGAACGTTTTTAGACACGCAAATCTATTTACCATAAATTATTTTTTATAACTACATCATTTAAAAATAATTCTTAACACCAACTGGCAGTATATAAGCGCCATTACAAAATAAGTAAGTACGGACGAAGCAAATGACGTCTAGTGCTTGACCTCGCCAAAATTATCATCGATTGTCACTCCCCAGCCGTCTTTGACGCCGTTTTTTTTCAATAGTATGGTACTACACTCTACTAAAAAACTCTCCTAAAATAACTTAAAACATAGAAAATTTAAAAAGAGATTTAAAGGTTTACTATACCTGCTCAGCTATCCATTCCAGTTCATCAACACAGTTCTCCAACTGTACCCAAAATTCGGATGGAGAATTTAAGTGACTCACAAAGCAGGTTGTTTTGCTCTCGGTAACAATTTCACAAGGCACCTATAATAATTTTAAAATTAAAACACACATATTGTGTTTTGTGTCAAGTTTACATACAGCAAAGTTTTGAGCAAGTAAAGCATCTTTAACGTTTTGCCCATTGGCGTACAATTCTACAATATGTGTCTTTTCATCTTGAATGAGGAACTCGGCCATAATATTCTCCTGGCTGGTCAGAGATTCGAATAGTTCCAACGCAGTTTGACTCCATTCTTCGTCGACGGATTTCAGTTTCAGGCTGCAACGGGTAGCGTAGACTGCTAGAGACAACAGATTGGGCGGCAAAGTTTTCAGCTGGGTGGTTTTATTGTTAATAACATCGGTATTTCCGTAATCGACGAAACGAACTGTGGTTATATCGTCATCAGCATCCAACACTTCTGCCCTGTAATAAAATATCTTTAGTCGCAATAATAGTGATATTTATAAATAAATAGGGACTTGAAAAGTTGTGTATAGTTCTATAGGCTTGGTTGCATTTCAGTTCATTTTAAAAAATCCGACCGCGGCGTTCCAACGTCAGAAATTAGAAGTGTCGGGTATTAAGTATTTCACGCAGTTCCGTTATCGTTTATGTCGATGGCATTGAAATAATTTGAAAATCGTGGCTTTGTCATAATATTTAAGTACTAGTTGAAGTCTGGCGCATCCGCCACGACATCAGAAAAAAAATACTTTTTATTTTTTATTTTTAATTAAATGAAAAACACTTGAGTATATTTTAGTTATATATATATATGAGTATATGAATACACCAAGACTATAGTTCTATAATCCAAAAATATGTTTATTAATTTACCTATACCACTGATGGTCAAGACTGAATGGCGCAGCACATAAGATACCAACCGATACATTTTCCAATACAGGCATTTCATCAATAGTATCTTGTAAATTTTGCTGCAATTCGTTCAATGTATCAACTGTTTGCGTGAACTGCACGTAGAAGTCTGTTGGACTATCAATATGGCTTATCAGGACAGGAGTACCAGGTTGATTGACATTTGTATCTTCAGCTGAAAGAATATATTTATACTCTAAGTTACTAAATATAAATCTATTATACCCGCATCTTTGGGTTCAGTAGTGTTTTCAGCTACAAAAGCTTCATTATTTTCTTGTTCGTGAACTAGTGTATTTTCTTCAACTGCTTCAACTGGTTGCTCTGCCTCATTGGTCAAGCTAGCCTCAACTGTACCTTCCCAGCCTTCTTCGCCATAATAAATCTCAGCCATGACATCCTTTTCTAGGAAGTCTGATGGCTGTCCAGATGTAACCTTAATCTTAAAATTATATCAAACTTTATAAAATAATCAAACAAAAATATCATATTTTGATTTACCTGAATACACATTATGCTGGGAACATTAAATTCGCTATTTAATTCTCTCAAATTGTCAAAGGTCACGTCCTCGGTGTTTCCATAATCCAAATAAATAACGGTTGCTTTTTCATCATCAAAACTGAGAACTCTGGCTCTATACCAATTACCGTCAGAGCTATGTACGGCGTATATTAAACCTAAAACATAAACACGTAAAAACATAATGAATTGTGCTTTTTACATAGACTTAAAATAAAATATAGACTGAGCATCTCATTCATAAATAGCTGGAAAATGCGGTCACACAAGTCTTGTTATTGTTTTAGGTTCTAACGAGTGCGACACGAGCGATAGATAGGTTGTCTCCGTCGTAACGGTCGTTCCCTGACGACTCTGACGAGAAATGAAACACTTCTTTTGTTTCTCGGTACACCTGAACTCTCCGTATCATAGCCGGGTAATTTTTTTATTTAAATGAAGCTATAATTCAATTAAAAATATATTGTATTTAAACTTTTTTATATTTTATTAAGATTTAGGAGACGTTTTTTAAATAAAAGTTTAGAAAAAAACGCCTTAGAAAAGCCTTTCTACAACGCCATTGACTCCCAATTGGTAAATTTAGAGTTGCCTACCGATCGAAAGTCGTTTCGAGACTTAAATGGATTTTAAGTCAAATTTCTTGCAAATTTGGCACTGGCGAATCATATTTTATAGTTCTTGAACAGAAAATATAATAAACATTTAAGGACTACAAACTAAGAAAATGCGATAATACAGCCAGAGGGAAGTAGTGGCAACAATGCTTTACTACACACGTGCGACGCGTACTACGAGATAATAGAAGAACGAATAGGCGACCTCGCCTCTCATCGGTGTTGCCATATTGTAAAGGATTTATCGTTTTTATATAGTATTCGACTTATAATTTAGTAGTATAAGGACTATTTAATACATCATGGAATATTAAAACCTACTTTATAAGAAAAAAAAATATATTAATATTAAAGACGTGACAAAACATAGGCTGGACGAGGAAGATTCGGTCGGCTGCGGTCGAGTGTACCCAGAAGTAAACATGTGTACAAAAATGATTGTTTGACCGCGTTTAGATGTAAATAGTGTAGTCTATATTTTATTTTAAGTCTATGGCTTTTTAACTTTCAAACCTTCTTCAGGAATAATGCTAGATTGTTGAGTAGAACTGTCATAGGCGTTGAATAAGCTTTCTAAGAGAACTGAAATTTGATCAGCATAGATGTTGGGTTGTATGTAAACTGAGGTTTCGTCTGCATGTGACACATATCCGTAAATATGGGTACTAAAAAATATATATATTTGGTCAAACTGTCTAATATGTTCATTATATGAATTACCTCAGAATAAGTAGAGGACACAAAGGTTCAACCATGTCTAAAGCCCCATCGTCAGGGTTTAGAATAACCAATTTATTTCCGGTGTTATCATAGAAAGTAACATCCAAACTAGGCGAAATAAAAGAAGAAATTGAAAAAACGAATGAATAATAATAAAAATGATATTTTATTACTTACACGTTGTTCTCCAAAATATTATCAACATATATGATCAATATGGTCTCTATACAGTCCTTCAATACACTTTCGAAAGTCTCAGTGGCTTCATCAAGGTTGTGAGCTTTGCAATTGAGGGCTAAACCACACTCGAGTGCTACAATAATGTCACTCAAATTGTTCACACTCTTTAACATGACCCTCAATTGCTGGTTAAGTAGAAGGGCAACGTCGACTTCTGCTTGTGGTTCGGATGAAACTACTAGATTGTTTTTTAGTAGCAAATTGGTGATTTCTTGGTCGCCATCCCATAGTTCAATGTAAGTCCTAAGTAAATAATTTTATATTTGCTTTTTAAAAGGCAAATGTTATATTTAAATTTTATTATTTCAAGTGTACCATCACTGCCTGGTCTCTTAAAACAGTCCAACTTATGAAAATAATTTAAAATTATAGAGTTAATAATCCTTCAATGCCATTAAAATTAAAAATTTCTAAAAATTTAATTATTTAGCAAGGTGCCCGGTGGCGTAGAGGTACAGGCTCTCGTCTACCAATCTGAAGGTAGTGGGTTCAATTCCCACACCCGGCATTTCATCAGCCGACTATTTTTATTAAAATAAAAATAGTTTGAGTACCTAGGTCGAGTCAGCCTTAAATGAGTACTTGGGATTCACAATCCTGAGGTAATAATAGGCCGTTGAAGCGTAGTGCTAGCCACATTACCGTCCTTGTATACCGAACGGCTCTAGTATGTTAAGCTGTACCTTGTTACTCCCAAGGCGTTAAACGCTATATACGGGAGCTATTATTATTATTATAATTATTTAGTTACTATTTAGGTTAATAAATAGAAGTTGATAGAACTTGTTGTTGATATACTGTCGTATCTTAAATTCAAGGTAGTAATTATAGGAAAATCTTCTTGTATCTATTTCTTTGTCTATGTAAATCTCTTTGATATATAGATGACAGATAACATCCAAAAAAGAATACAATTGATCTCTGAAATAAAATGACAGACATGACTCTCACTGGCATGTACCATCTTGTTGGACAAATTATACAGTAGCAGTAAAAATACAAAAGGTAGTTACAACTTTGAACTAAAAATATTAATAATAATAATCATTTACTTACAAAATGCTGCTAAAAGAATGCAGTGAAAATAACAATTATTTAGATTTAATATTTTTAGAAAGACAGTGTATGGACACCACTTACCTGATATCATCAGTTTTTAAAAATCTAGCGGTATAACTCTCTTTCTTGAAATAGTCACCAAACACTGTACAATCTGGCCAGTTTTCGCCGGCAGGGGCAATGCCGTTAAGACCGCAACATATTGCTTGAGCGGGTAAATTCATGAACTTTTTCTCTAAAATATAAAGCTTGTAAATAAAACTATATTTTAAAGAGTTGTTGAATGACTTACCTATAGGCCATACTTTCGTTATAGTTGATACGTTTCCAAAATCGACATAGAATACCTTATATTCCGCACCAAAGACTTCTAAAACTTGGGCTCGGTACAAAACGTTATCTTCGGGAAATAGACCTACAATTGGAGCACCAACTGGACAAGCCTCGGGCTTACGATTTTTGTAAGCTTGCTGGATTTCCTCCATTAGTGTCTTGAATTCACTCTATAAAAAATTTCAAATATTGATACAACTAAAAAATTAGTTTATTCAATTTCATTTTATTGTTGTACAGCGTTACATATTTATGGCGCCCAACGTGGGACTGTTCTGATTTTGCTTATTTGGTTGGCAATTAATTTATTACCAACCAAGAAAATCTAATATTTATCGGCTGTTTCTCACTAGCGTCAAAATAGCAGAATTTGTTAAAATGGAGCTGCCTGGTTATTGCAGCCACGTCTTCAATCTCATTTATTGCATACATTTGTGATATGCTCCTTGCGTTTTCACTTTTAAAATATTTCTCATGTTCCATTGTTCTATGTATTTTACTTTTGTTGTTTTTCTATTAATAAATATACAGCAATAGTTTGTCTTCTACGCCAAAAATAAGGAGCTTCATCAATTGCACAAAAATATACTTATAAAAATAAACCTATAAATAAAATTCGTTAATCAGGTGACCATTTTGTGTTTAACAACACAAATATCCCTAGAATTCGTTGCGAATTTCGTTGTTATATGAAGTACGTAAATTAAAGACGGATTTATTTTGCGAAATTGGCAATTCGCCTGTATATGAACCTACCTTACGACACAGTTAAAGGCATGTAAAGACAATATCTTACCTCTGATGTTTGCAGTTGACAATAAAAGTGACTGGGATTGTGGAACCAAGTAATCATCACTCCTGCCTCTGAACCGACCATGTTTATTTTCTGAAACGTAGCTGTTGATGGAGCCGCGTCTATAGGTGTGCTAACGTCACTCACGCTCCACGTATCATCGCCCATTGTGGTGTTGGCGAAAGAATTGTTAGATCTATAACATGAAAACAATAAAGCATTCTTAGTTGAAAATATGTCAATATTCTTTTCAGACCTGTTGTAAAATTTACCACCTCCATGGTCGTTTCTTGAACTCGTTCTTAGGCCTTTCTTGAAGCTTTTCTCAGAACCGCTAGAACTCATTTCACTTCCATCCCTAGAAAAACCATACCAAGCCCAAATGTAAATGAAATGTGCGAACATTAGCAATATACGTAACAAACATTTTTTTGTATTTGTGAAATTATGGTAATATAGGAGAATTTTTTATTTAGTTCCTATTTCGTCACAAAAAGATTTTTTAACAATATTCATTCAAAGGTAAGATATGAATAGCATATAAAAGAAAATATTAATAGTGTTAAATTAGTTATAATGATCAGGGTGATTAACATTAATTTAAGTTAGCAGAAAGAAGAAGAATTAATTATTAAGAAGCTTGCTGAGTTAATTTATTTAAGTAACATTCTCTTCATCTTATTTTTTCTGAAAAAAAAATGTAAAAATTTGTCACTTAAGTCAGAATAAAGATATTTTATCTTGCCTAAGTTCATTTCCCGCCGATTTCAAAATTAAAGAGCTAAGTAAAACCAAAATAATTCAATCAAACAAATGCGTCTATTTATAATTACTAAAAAATAAGTTGAAAAACGTTTATCTAAAAATCTACCAAACATTCTAACACAAAACCGATTATGTTCTAGATGTGGCAAATACAATTTGTACAATATAGTTCTAGAAATAAAATAATATCATATATGACTACACAGAGTGCAGCTAAATACAAAAAATACAAACGATATAATACAATAACTCCTAAAATACTAAGCTATCGTCTTATGCGTGATGCCATGACTCCTGAGTATAAAAATAAAATTACTCCCATGGAATGGTTGATATAATTATACGAAAATAATAAAAAACTTGGATGAGCATAATTTTTTTAATCAATAAGCCTGGATGGAAGTTATACACGGTCGGCAAGATAGGTTTTTGGGTGTCGATTTTCATGAAAATTGACACCCAAATACTGTATGTATGATAAGATGTACTGAACAAAAAGTGAAGAGCAAGTATAATGTCGTATCGACGTGTAAATACAGACTCAAGGCTCTCTCACCTACAGGGTATAAACAACTGTGCTGATATAATCACCTAAAGGTAATAATACTATCTTTAAAGAGACAAACAAAAAGATGTTTTATTTATTTATACTCGTACTATAATACAATAATAATAAGATTGTGGGTAATAAGATCTCTCTTCCACGCTTTAATGTAAAAATAGAAACCAAAGTTTTACTTACCTTTGAATCTTGTTTAACTATTTTTTTTTAGAAAATGGACCTAAGAAATGCAAAAATAAACATTCTTGGTTAAATGAATAAATTGTGTTCATTTATAAATACAGTATATCTGAGGCACTACAAAACTACATAAGCAGTTATAAATACATTATATTTCTGTTAAAAATCACATTAAATTACTTATGATTACAATTATATACACACAATAAAGACGAAAAGAAGGTTATGTACTGATTTTAAGGAATATTTATTAGAAAAATAAAATCCGATAGCAACGTTTATTTTAGGATAAAACTATTGTAAATACACTTTCAATTTCTCTTATAATGCAAGTATATTAAAGAATTATTCCGATTGTTTTAAAATAAACCAAAAAAAATCTGCTTACAAAAACAATGAAAACAGTCGATTCGAATTTACGATGTGGCCTTAGTATTTTAGGAGATATTGGTAGACGTAACTGATATTATTTTTTTAGTATATAACATAGTATACTGACATTTCCTAAGTAGGTAATTGAACAAAGCATTAAAAAATATTAATTCTTAATCATTTGAAATATTAAAAAAACTTTTAAAAGATGTATAACATAAAATTTTTATTTTATAACTGTCAGTATAGAAATTTATCTTTATTTTTTTTTAAGGATTAAAAGTTTTTATACTTCTGTCTTTTACTTCTTACACCGTAATTTATACTTTAACTTTTACTACAAAAGCACAAATAAAAACAAAGATGCAATCAGTTCAACAGAAAAACATCGTGAACGTTAAGATTATGCCCTGACACCATGTTTACTAGTAAGCATTCGACATTCAGAACAAGTGTGGCAAGAAACACATCTAACAAAGATATAGTTTACCTTTTAAATTTGTTTGACTGAAACCTAGAAAAATATTTAAACAGAATATACTTATTAAAATTGGAGTAAATATATTTTTGTAATAGATATAAAATAAATAAAATAAAAACTTACTTTCTGAAATCCTTTTTGAAGCCGCCATCTCTTTTAAACCCGTCTCTGTTGGAGTTCCAATTATTGCTTCTATCACCTCTATCACCACGTTCACCTCTGTCTCCTCTATCGCCACGGTCGCCTCTATCTTGGTCAAATCTGGAATCAAGTAAATGTCATTTATAGATGATATACTAAGGGCTGGCAAAGGTTAGTCTTGGGTCGAGATTTCCGTATGTAAGAAGAGTACAATGCGTTTATAATGTACTGAACAAAGAGAGGACAGTAAACACGTTGCCAAAGATATGAAATAAACCGAGAAACTGTGCACATCGCTAAGAGACGTGGAAGGGGATATAGCAGATTTGTCGCAGTTGACAGGTCGACCCAATCAATACCTCTGTCAGTACTTAAAGTTCTAGGGAAAAGTGTACGTCATGCGTTCAGCTTCACGATTTAATTACGTCTCGTGATACTTGATTTGGTTGGTCGTTGTAATTTTCCCTATAGCTTGAATTTTTTTAAGTGCAAGCTAGAAACACTTTAAGTGGAATTGAGTGGGTGTTCGATAGTGGTCGCGCTATTAGAACTCTGAATTCAAAAATCGATATCTCGAAATCTATTAGAAATAATAGATTGTAGTTTTTTTCAAGAACTTTGTTAATATTTCTGCTGTATTTTTTTTGTAGACAGTATGTGAAAATCTTAATCAATAAAAAAATTACACGATTGCAGAAAATTGCTATGCTCTAAAAGTAAATGGATGGATTGTTTACAATTTTTGAATGGAAAAAACAACCTTATCGAATTTTTATTATGTAAACATATTGTAAAATATCCGATCTTGAAAATAAAAAAAAGTTTCAATATCTAAAGTGGTTCTTGAGTTATGGCCTGTTATGTGTTAAAAAGTTGAGTTTTTTAATTATCGCGATTACTGACGTTTTCTCGTTATAAAAAAATGACACCCTAACGATATGCTTATAATTCCATTTTAGATGCTCAGAAACATGTCAGATGATTTTATCTAGTTATCTTTTGAAAAAAAAGTCTTTTAGAAATAAGCGGTTTGCGATCGTGATTTTATTTTACTTGATAGGGAAAGGCGTATCGGCAACGCCGCAACAGCACAGTCGCGCGCGTCGGTCGCATTTCTCTCACTCCGACTTAATAAGATCCCTATGCGATTTACTTCCACACATGTAAATGCCGACCCAAAAGTAACAGTTGCCAGCATGGTATAACTGTAATAGTATAACATAGATAAATGAAACAAGTTTAGATTGGAAAGTGTAAATACTATTTGGTGCTATTCTTGCAAAGGTCACGATCACGACCCAACATTTTTTAATAATTTCGGAGCAGTTTGGCTTTTTCCGGAATTATGTCGCCAAATATATTATTTATTCAAATTCAGTATTATTTTCTTTTAATTTTATAAATAAAACACAGTGTATTGTACATAAGAAACTTTATTTTACTTAAGGACATGTATAAAATACCTATGGAACATTGGAAGCCAACGTTATGCCAGGATGGTTTTTCTCCAAGAAAAATCCTTTATGGGTATTTCGCCACTGCACTGCAAGAAAATCTACAAAATAAAATAGTTATTTTTTGTAAACACTTCTGCGTTAAACCTAAACGGACACTGCTTGTCAGAAGTTATGTTTACAGTTATACCAAATTTGCCTAACAAAGAAAAAAATTCTTAACGTTTCGGAAAGTTTATCTCTTTCCGTCGTCGGAAGCAAAAAAATACAAAGTTTACAAAAAATAACTATTTTGTTTTGTAGATTTTCTTGCAGTGCAGTGGCGAAATACCCATAAAGGATTTTTTTGGAAAGATGAATCCGCCACATAGATATAGACATTTTTTAGGATGGTTTTTGCAGTTCACAGTTCACACAGCTAAAGTTTTTTTAATGCCACTTTTTCACAATTATCAGGGGTTTGAGTAAATAAAATTTAAATTAAACTTACAAGATAGCAATACTTACTTTTAAAATGGACGCTTTAAACACTTCTCGGTATTTTTTCAATGCGGGCGGTTTAAATTTTGAAAGAGTTTTATAATTTTTGAAGATTCTGACTTGACAAGAGATAATTCTTTCTGTTCTTGTTTGCGGTTGTTCTTAGCAACCGCTATAGCAGCGCCAGATCCCGTACAATGTATTTGACCCAAAACAATTAAACGTTTTGGCGGGAAGCCGAGCATTCCAATCTAAATTTATTCGCTTTATCTATGCCGTATAAGTTATAATGATAATTTATGTCATAACATCTAAAATTTTCTAACCTGATAATATTTTTAAACATACCTTCGTTTATTTTGACCGAATTTGTTCTCTCTAGGCCTCCTCTCTTCAAAGTTGTTGGATGTTGGAGCTGGAGCGTCCCAGGGATCGGTGGAGACCGCATTATCCCCATTGTCCTGATGTGGGCTCTCCCAATCATCTGTCCGAGACTCTTTATTGTTCCAATTGTTGTTTTTGCTATTATCGTTTCGGCTTTTACTAAACCTATCGTTAATGTTCGTTTTCCTCTGAAAATCAGGTCGATTTCCTCCTCGGTCGTTTCGTTCGTTATTCCTGAAAAATGTCAATTATGACAAGAATTGGTAATTTAGATTCAAAATATCTCGAGAACCATTGCTCGTAGCGATTTTAACCAAGATACCTTTTTACGTAAAAAACGTCGTAAATGTTAATTTTTTTACTCAGTAGTTTTATACAGGTACGGACAAAAAGTTATTGCTTTTCAAACTTGTTAAAAAATATGTAGGTGGCGCCCCTACAAGTAGGAGTCGTATTGATATCAAAAATCACATTTCTCATGTTAAAAAACCCCGGACACCAATTTTCATCCTAATATTGACGTTACTTCAGAAATTATTTGGAAAAATCGAAATAAAAATGAAAATTCTACACCCTGTATCTCCAAAACTAAGCATTTTAGGACATACATTTATACGAACTTTTTACTTATTTTTATCTGCAGAATATGCTGTGAAGTTTCCGGAATAGAGTTCGGACCACCCTGTATACTGATCACCATCATTATTGAAAAAAAGTTCGCGCTTCCTTGTCTAATGTGAACGAAGAGAAAAACACAAACATAGTTTTAATATTAATAGCTGAAAACTTATGGACCAATTCAGGAAATACTTGAAAAACAATATGGCGTTGAAAGTAATTATAAGTTACTTTTAACTCACCTAAAACCTTTGTTTTGTCTCCAAGATCCTTGCTCGGGAGAATCTTCATTTGATTCAGTCTGTCTACAATGATGAATTAAAAGACATATCATTAGTAAAGTAGACTATTGCTAACACATCACTTACATCTTCGCCAGTCTCCAATTTAATAATGATTGACTTGCATGAAGAATAGAATAAAAGATGAAGTGAAAAGACAACTAGTAGGAATTTGTTTATTAAAGAAGAAAATGATATTAAAAAACTGGCCTTATTAATGTCTGTATCTGAAGAAAATGGACGCCAGTTGAATCTCAACTATTTATAGTATGACTTTGGTAAACAATTCTACCATTCTACGCCAAGATAGTAAGTCGCTGGAAATTATTTTCAAGTTTGAAAAATGTCCGTTAGGGTGTTTTCTTACGGCCAATCAGAAAACGGATTATTTTCAAAAATATTCGCGTGAAAATGTTTTTGGTATAGCGTATTTTGCTCTATCATATAAAACAAAGTAGTGGGACGATCCTTCTTTATTCAATAAGAATGACTCTGGTTTGGGTTAATGGAATTAAAGACACCGGGGCTCTTTTAAAAGATCTTTTCTTCCTTAATAATCAACAGTATAAACTTTTTTTTAATAGATTTTGCAGCGGTAACTAGATGACGATGTTTGACATCAACAGTTATTACGCGTTTGCAAAAAATATTGAATGGCAGGCTACATTTCTCTTTGCCTTGTTATATAAAGCATTAAGTTTCGAAAAAAGTCAGCGCAAACATTCTATCTTCTCCTTAACGGAAGATATTAACAGAACAAATAAAGTTAGGATGCCACCTAGGCCTTATAAAGTTTAACTAAAAATTCTACCATAGTCTGTCCAACAACAGGATCCATGTTTGTATATGAGATTTTAATTCGGAGGTAAATAGTCGTCTGTCAAAATCTTTCCTGACTTATTAGACAGACTATAGTAGGCTAGGAAACAAAAAGGAATAAATGGGTTTAACTTTCTCAATCAGAAATAATAAAGAAGTTATTTTTCAATGTACAGAAAGGCCTCAAAGGCCTATAGGTTTAAATTAAATTATATGACGTTTATGTAACTGCTTACCGAAAATTATTCTCAGATCTCCAAGGTCTTTCAGTTGATTTATCAGAATTTCTACTCTCGGATCGGTCGTTTCTGTTCTTCCAATCTTTATCCTCTCTAATATAAATAATAGAACGTTAAAACTGTAATAACTTTTTCATAGTGGTGTTCAGAAGTTTTTCACAAACCAACTGTATTCCAGAACCATTGTCTATTGTTTTTAGATTTATTTAATTTAATGCTATCATAAATTTCAAATGGCTAGTAAATTGTTTTTATTATATTATTGACAATTAAGCACTAACAAGGGTATACCGGGTGCGTCTCAAAAGTGGCTCACTCCTATAATTTTTTTATTTTTTTTTATTTTTCACTTAATAAAACGAGATTTGGTATGTCAGTATATGACATAAATTAGGATTGATTGACGTATTTAATTCTTTTTGGTCACTTCCTATTTCACGACCGGAAATGACTAATACTTTTTATTTTTAAATGACACCCCCGGTATATTTTCACTTTATTCGAGCAGAAAATGACACTTGAATAGAATGAAATATCATATGTCAGCTTTTGGCATTTTAATTAGGTTAGCTTTTTTTCAATCTAGAATGCAACATGTGTTAAAACACTAATTTTTAACCAAGAGCCCTTGAAAATAGATTTGATTGTTTAATGTTTTTCGTGTCTTGTTCTGGCCGGCTAAAAGATACCCAAATCGTACATATCTCAAGTTTTCAGATAGAACAAGAGTGGCTCATTACATATTTGAAAAGCATTTTTTAAATTAATTTGGTATCGCATACTTGGGATTTTGAGTCAAATTGCGGTTATGATCTGTATGTTACTATTTCAAATAAACCATATGCGAAAATGTCAAAAGCAAAGCTCATATGATACTGTCATTCTATTGAGAGTGTGCTGTTCTAGCGAACAAAGTAAAAATACCAAGGGTGTCATTTAAAATCAAAAGTTGTAGTAATTTTGAAACAGGAAGTGACCAAAAACAATTGAATACGTCAATCAACTTAATTTATGTCATATACTATCATACCAAATCTCGTTTTTATCTGAAAAAAAATAAAAAATTATAGGCGTGAGCCACTTTGAGATACATCCTATATGAGAATACTAAAATACAAAGTGCTATTTAAGCATGCACCCAAATTTCAGGTGATTCTTTAGGTAATTTTAAGATAATTTAATAGCTTCTCAATTTTAATAATTTCTTCTCATATAAAATGAATAATAAATTATAAAACAATGCAAAAAAAAAACAAGATTTCATATGCTGAAAAATCTTACCTAGCCGGTCTTCTCTGCTCTCTAAAATTATCTCCCGCATCGCCTTTTCTATGTTCGAATTTGTTGCCCGCCTGTAACAAAATGGGGCTCACTTGACTTTACCAAGCGATTTTTTCCAAGAGCAGAGAGGCCACGTTATAGTTCGCCGGATTGATGAGCTCCACCAGTGCCTTCTTGCCCAACATTTCGCTCACTCTCATCGTGAACGACTGCTCCAAGATTAGTTCTTCCAATAGGTTGTCTCTAGTTTCGTCGGCGCCCATGTTTTGATAGCCGGTAAGACAGCACTCGATTGCTTGTGGTCTAAGCACAGTTAGCTAAAAAAATTGATTATAAAGGAAAGAAATCCTGAAACCTAGGGTTTTCATACAAAATTTTTAAATTTTACATTTTCTTTTAATTTTGATACTAAATATATTACGATCGAAAAAAAAACGGCGTCAGCATTATTGAATGACAATCGCTGATGATTTCGGCGACGTCAAGCCCTAGACGTTATTTACTTAGCCCGCACTCTTTCTTTTTATCGGAGCTATTGCCGGTTGGCCTTAAGAAAAATTTTTAGAAATAGATTTGTATGTCTGGAAACATTCTATCTTTTTAATATTTCTATTGTTATTGTTGATTTTGACAAGTTTTATGTCAATTTTAGTAAATGACGTCTAGATATTGACTTTTCAAAATAATTATCATTTTACTTTGGATTACTTCGGATATATTTAAGTCTACTTAGTTTATTGGTGTTCCAGGTTGAACGTGCATTAGAAGCTTCTAGAGGCGTACACAGTCGATCGGAGATGCAATATCATTCTTCCATAACAAAAATGTCTATCATTGTAATATTTTTAATATGGTAGCACTTCCGGAAATACTGAAAGTCGGCAACTTTCTTATTTTAGATGGATGTCTCATTTTTTTATTGATACTAAATTTTCTGTAAATTTTATGAATTTTGATATTAAACGCTCTATACCTAACATTCCGGAAAACCTACAGTCCAAAAATTTTAAATATTTTTCTCAAAAGGATAGGTATAGAGCGTTTAATATCAATATTCATAGAATGTTACAGAAAATTTAATTATGTAATAAAAATGGGGACACCCATTTAAAATAAGAAAGTTGCTGTCAACTTCCGGTAAGGGAAGTGCCGCCATGGTTGAAAATACTTTTTAGTATTATAAGATAGCTAGATCTCGTTGTGAAACAATGATGTGCAAAAAATGTCCGAACTAGATATTGTGGTTCTCTAGAAATTTCTAACGCATGCTCAACCTGGGACACCCTGTATATTTAAGTCTACTTAGATGTAGTTGATTATTATATTATGTTTGACTTGTACAAGTACTGTTGTATCATAGCATCAATAAACTATCCATCTATCTATTATCGATTGTTATTCCCAGCAGTCTTTGACGCCATTTTTTTTTTTCGATCATAAACAATCATCTATTAATTTTATTAACATTTTTTATTAGCATACTGTAAAACAATAATTTAACTTTTTGAATTTACCATAATTCCAGTTACAATAATCAAAATAAATAAAAAGGAGCTACTTACCAATTCACCTTCAACCATCTTAAGCAGAATCACTGGTACTATTTCTTCGTTTCCATAATCAATATACCGTACTTTCACGTTTTCCCTGTCGACAATATCGACAATTTCACTTCGATACCAGAGCTGGTCTGCTTGGAACAATGCACAACAAGGCAGACCTAGCTTTACATCTTTCAAATCTATGTTATCATTATTTTGACAGGATAGTTGTAAATCTTCCATCACTTTAGCCAATTCTTGTTCCTAAATTTAGTATAGAAGACTCAATAGGAATTTCCTTCAAAAATTAACTAAAGTTTTACAAGATAATATAAAAATGTCATGTGTAAGAAATGTCAGTTATTGGTATACAGTCTATTTTTTTATAATTGGGACACTTGTACTCAAAGTGTATTAGGTATATGCTTTTTATTTCTAATACACAGTTTGAACTTTTGGCACAAAAAACATGTCAAATTTATGATTTCAGTCTAATAACTATTTAGTCAACATGTTAATTTATGTCAATGATGACAGGTATTGATAATTTCGATTCCAAATATCTCGAGAACCATTACTCTAGCGATTTTTTCCAAGAGACTTTTTTACGTAAAAAACGTTATAAATGTATATATATTTTTTTACTTAACAGTTTTATACAGGTACGGACAAGTTATAACTCTTCAAACCAGTTAAAAAATATGTAGTGGCGCTCACAAGTAGGAGTCATGTGGACATCAAAATTAAATTTATCATGTCAAAACTCCCAGACACCAATTTTCATCCAAATATTGACGTTACTTCAGAAATTATTTGAAAAAATCGAAATAAAAAATGAAACTTCAACACCCTGTATCTCCGCACCAAGCATTTTAGGACATACATTTATACAAACTTTTGGATTTATTTTTATCTGCAGAATATATCGCCTTAAGTTTCCGAATACAGTTCGACCACCCTGTATAATTTATACCAGTGTTTAAACCAATATCTGTGATATTTTACAATGCAAGACATTTTTGATATCTAAAACTTGACTAATAACCCTATTAACTGCTTTTTAATGAATGCTCTATCTACAAAAAATAAAAAAGTTATAGTCAGTTAACAGTGAGACAAGAAAAGTTCTACAAGAATTAGTTTTTACCTTCTCAATACCTTTCACAATAGCTAATAACTACTAATAACGGAGATACTGTATGATTTCAACTAAATGGGCACCCTGTACTTATATGTAAGTCGTTAGAAAATTATATATTTTTTAATTCTGTATAAAAAAAAGACAAATGTTGAATATTAGAATACATAGCATTGAACATGTTTTGTTCTCAATACACTTGATTATAAAACTTTTACAATATAAAATTGAAAATCTTACCTTGGCAACTAGCTGAACATAGAATCTGTTACAACTAAATACATAACTAACTTTCACTAACTGTGTAAATCCCCTATTCAACAAAAGTGGCTCAGGGTAGGCATGCAGTGCAGCTCTAAAAAGAAAGATTCAATTCAAAATTAAAATACTCATACTACCATTTTACCGATTAATGACATCCAAAGCACTGGTTTTAGTCTGCGGATCCCATAAGTCACACTTGGGTATGGTTGTTTTCTTTGTGGAAGGAAGAACCATCATATGGAGCAATCTGTTATCAAACAAATTTTTAAAGGCTAATAGCATCTCCATCGTGACAGTTGATTTTTCAACTCCGTTTAAACTGAGTCGTATAGCCATTACTTTTGGGAGGACATACTTAAAAGGTATTTGATATAGTGCTTCCAAAGGTAGTGTTTCATAGTTACCAAAATCTACATAAAACACCTAAAAAAATTATGCAAATGTAGATATTACAAATAAATATGATAAAATGTTTACTTTAAATAGGTTATCAACTTCATTGGTAACCACAGCTCGACAAACATTTCCATCTTCCATGCATCTGGCTAAACAAATGGTTCCAGGAAGTGGCAGATCTTCTAACATCCTCAAATTTATCATGTTAATTTCTTTCATTAATTTCGCCAAATTATCCTCGGACTGTTGTAACTGTACAGAAAACAATGTAGGGCCTTCATTGACAAAGGATACATATACTGCATATTCCTTCTTCGGTTCGAAAAGTTGAAGCTTGTTAAATATTAGATTATATTGTTTAATAATAATAAATATTCATTATCTATGGTACTGTCTATGTTTTAGAATGGAAAGTAGAATTATAATCTTAAAACTTACCTTTATAACTGTTTATTTCTGTTGGAGCTGGAGTCGATATTGTAGCAGTAGTCTGTTGCAAACTCATGCTTAACAATACAGCCTGCTGAGCATGCAAAGGAATTGGCTGTAACAGACCTCTACTTATCAAAAGGGAACCTGCAAAACAGCCATAAGACTAGAAATATATTATTAAAAATAAATTTCTATTGTTTATACCTATGTCAGAATTTCCAATAAAGAGTTTAACTAAATAATATTGGGTAGCTTGAGTGATCAACTGGCACTGCACATCTCTCTTATAACTAAGATCTTTTGAAATTACCTCAATAAATGGTCTTTCCATTCGCCACCACCTGAAATGAATTAATGTTTTACATGTAATAATTATTTTCTATAAAACTAAATTCTGTCAAATCTCAAATTATTTTTAAAGCTAATTTTTTGGTTATAAACAAAACTGTTCTGCTTGGCTGATTATTTAATTTTTATGTTCATCAGTACATTAAATTAAGCCGCAATCAAACCTTGAACAATTTAAATTATATTAGTCATAATAATCTAGTATATAAATTATACCTGGACAGTGTGCTTCTCCAAAAATAAAACCTGTTGCTTGTGGTGGAATAGAAATAAAAGATGTGGGAAAGTTCTGCAGACTTCTGATGTTGTCACTGGGAACTATATCCTTGTTACCAAAATCTACGAAGCTGACTTCAACGAAGCAATCATTTAAGTAGTCAATACTAACTATTCTGGCTCTAAAATACAATAATAATTAGACAAACATTAATGATTATTATTGCCATAAATCCCGAATACTTTAATAAATATAAAATATTAAGCTTCTAAGGCAAATAGCATGGATAAATTAAATTACCTGTAATACTTGTTGTCTTTATATTTCGCACATACCAAAGTGTTGACCTGTAAATTTTCGAACGGTATTTTGCCGATGCCTTGCTCAAATTGCTGCGAGGCACCAATAAGAAAACGTTCTATATAAAGTGCATTGTTTTTGTCCGTTTGCCCCCACACTTTTAGAAAGGGACCTTCCTTGTCCACGTGCGCGTTATAAACATATTTTCTAACTGTTGTGGTTCCATATTAATTTTTTTTTTTCTGTTAGTGATGTATCATTAAGACAATTCTTTGTAGATGAAAACCGGCTGAAATTATAATTTTTATATCGTTTTCTCGACTTTCAATCGTGCCTAACCAAACAGAAATGTCAAAATTTTGTTGGCGTTTGGCGTCATTTTGGCAATGTCAAATTTTTCGCAAAACGGATTGGTCTATTCAGTTCTATTGCCGGTCATGTGATTGTAAAAAATTGGTGCACGGATTTTAAATCCCGGAAATATTTTAAGAATATGTTTTGAAACGGTTTTTATCACAAGAAAATTATTTATGTGTAGCAAGGGAGGTATCCTTTCGAACATAATTAATTTCAAGATTTGTTTATAGGTTCAATCAATAGGTACTTTATAGATTTGTTTATCTATTAGTGTACTCTTAATAATTAAAAAAAATGTGTATCTTGTGGGATATAAATAAAGTCTCTATTAATAAAATTATTTTTATTGAAAATCATAAAATATAGCTGGCAACATTTTACAAAAATAGTTTAATAATTGTATATGGGTTAACAATATATAAATTTAAATATTTTTAATCCTATAAATAAAATCATCACAAAATATACAACATTCTTTGCTTAGAAATTCCAACTCAATACATAGCAAATTATACAATCAGAGAAATATATATTACATTAAAAGAAATATAATTATCAACATAGGAATGTTTCAACAATATCCTCACTATTTATTAGGTATTAGCATAAATTTGAGAAAAAATGTTAGCTTGGACCATTCTTCCATTTATGTAATTCATTATAAACTTTTATCATACAGTGTAGGATATTATCTATTTAAATAAACATTTGCGTGAAATAATAATTTATCTATATTTTTAACCCTTACATTCCCAAAGTTTTAGCAACTTTTGCTTGGACCCTTGATCCCTAGTAGTTAATCCAATTAATAATATCTATAACTATTTAATGGAGTGTCTTAAATTAATTAACTATTAAAACCTCAAATTGGAATGTAATGATATAGTTTAAATATCTTTGAATGATATGTTGTGGATATATTAAATAGAAAAATATTTTATAAAATATACTTGCTATAGTAATTGTAAGTCTCAAATTGAAGGAATGTATTAATTTTGATTGGAAATATTATAAGTGGAACTTATATTCTTAATAAAATGTATTTTTGGGGATAGAGCTGGTATAGACAAAGTCTGTCCTGCAAATGAATATAGGTATTCTCTTGGAGGACGGACTATAGGTATAAGTAACTATATTAATATATTAAATAGTCTTTAGGATCTTCAACTAGATAAAGTTTACAAAAGTAACTATACCCTGGCAAGAGAGGAGTAATATGACAAATACCAGGAACATGGAAAGTAAATACTGTACAGGACATTGAGCAACATGTGGTCTCCTTGATACGTATAAAGTTTAAGATTTAACATGACTTGGGTCTTTTTTTAGCAGGCGAGGGCGGAACAGATCTAGAAATTAAAAAAAATTTTCGCATTTATAGCTCCTCACCGTGATTACTCAGGCAGGTTTGCTCCATACTGTTCCATAAATTTGTTGATGTCGATTTGTGGAATGAGCTTTAAAAGTAACAATTAAGTTAACAGTTAGATTTAAAGTTCAATTCAAAATATAAACACTCAGTACCTTCGAAGGTTGTAGAAATCTACTTGGAATTTTGTTAATTACACCTGAATTTCCTCTTGGTCCAAAACCTAAACCTAACAGCACCTCTTCTGGATCAGGTTTTCTCAATTCCAGAACAGATTCAACGCTACTACAGTGACTATCGTCAGAATGAAATGATGAATCCCTATAAAATATTTATAACAAATATTACCTAGTTTGCTTTAGCTATAATAAAAAAGTGTGTTAAATGCATACCTTAATAAATACTTCTGTCGGTTAATCAAGGTTTGTTGAGCAGCATATACATTAGGAACTGAAGACCTTTGGGTTTGACTCAGTTGATTGTTTTGAAGTGTATTTAAAGTGTCTAACCATTGTTGTGTAAGCGTAGACTGTTGTCTCGCCATCAGGTGTGTCTGGTCCCTTCACATATGCATTTAATAAAGTGTTATGGCATGGCAAATTTTAATATCCTTACCCACTCATGTTTCTAAACTACTCTCCTAAAACTATATAAATTTGGAAATATAATGAAAGATTAATCGATTTTACATTGTTTTATTGTTTATTTATTATTAATCTGAAAAAGAAAATTAAAAATTAAAGAGATTTTTAGATTTTAACAGGTGGCTGTCAAAAATAAATAATAAATAAATGTCATATGGTGGTGGAGGCAAATCAGAGATATGGAAGTGGGAGAATGAGCTTCGACGAGTGCGCATCCAAATTTTTGTCGACGGCAAGATGGCAGACATCTTCCAGGTCTCGCTGTCACTTCCCCTCTTTAATTGACATCTGTTTGTTTTGTTTTGATTTTCGTTTGTGTTATTATCTAGTTAAAATTTATTATTATTATCTCAATTATTCTAAACACTAATTCAAAAGGCTTGTTGTATATTCATAGTCATTCTAAGAAAGCTAATACGCCGGGAATAATGATTAGTTTTCATATGTAAGTTTATACAACATAATCGTGTTTACAGATGATTCAAAACTGTTTATTTTGTTTTCCTAAAGGCGATTGGTAAAAATCGTGATTGTAATTGGGAATGGTCAAAATAAGTGTATGATGTGGCCATTTAAAGAGGATGCTTTTATTACGTGTGGAGGAAGAAGATACTTGGAATCAATGTTCGTGTTTCTGTAAAACAGTGCACTCTTATAGTGTCCATGAAAGAACAAGTTCAAGTGACCAGAAATATATCAAATAAGATTGGTCCTTACTTGACAAGAAGATTATTTGGAGGAAAAGAAAGCATAAGATAGGGTATTTTAATCGAACAGCGAAAATTTAACACTTATTGTAAAGTTTTGTTGTAGGTAGTTGTAGTTTTGTGCTAAATATTTCTAACATTAGCAGCAGTGTTCAGAGTGTCAAGAGGAGGAGAATTCAGATAATTAGATTTATGCACAGTTACAGGTATGAAGGCTTTTTCAAACATAGTATCGAGTTCTATAGTCAACATTTTAGTATTCCTACAACTGTAAAAACAAAGAACATTGGACTGAAAAAATGGCAAGATTTATATAGGAAGAAAGGGCTTGGTTTGGTTTGGTTTGGTTGTATTCCTACAACTGTAAAAAAAAGGAACATTGGACTGAAAAATGGCAAGATTTATATAGGAAGAAAGGGCATTATGCCAATAAGAAAATTAAATCTGTGGGCAGAAGTTTCTTATTTAAAAACTGTTATGGGGGCATATATTAATTTGCATCTGTGCCACAAATCACAGAAAAATCATATAATATTCATAATTATTAACGAGATGATATTTAAAAGCTTACAATGTTACTTTGTTTCAATATTGCACTTTTATTCTGTAAAATCTATGATGAAGCTTAAAAGCATTTTGCAATGGCCTTAAATTGTGAGCCAGGATTTATATCAAAGGTATTTGATGCAATGAAACTTAATCAGGGAATTGTCAATCCCATGTTTTTAAATAGATAAAATACAGGCCAAAGTTGACAATATTACAGTTGAGAAGAAACTATTTTATCTTTAAAAAATTTCTTAAAATTCTGAGATCATATAATCTAATTTTCTTAATAAATTAGTATATGTATGTTGTACATACAGAATTTTGGTATGGACAAATAAGGATCAACAAGCTTTAGCTATGTGCAAAAATAAATTATTTTTTGTAGTATTAAGACAAACGATAATGTTTTTTACAAACTTACTGGTAACAGTTTTTTTATAATAAAATATTTAGGAATAATTTGGGTTGTTTATCAATATATTAATGACTTGAATTTTGACAAATTGAATTTGTATCAAAATAATTTTACGAAATATAAAATTGATGTTCTATTACAAGACTGAGTTTTTTTTTATTGTCGACAAAAACCGGGAGATAAATACTAATAATAATACTCCATAATAAAAATCAATGATGTTTATGTATTATGAAAATATTTGTTAGAAGACATGTTATGTAACAATTTTGTAATACAATTTGAAGGGACGAATAAAAAATAAAACAAAAACATATTTTTCTAGGTTTATATTAAAAATACAAGGTAAGTAATCATCAAAATAATTATGCACCAAATGTTTTTTTATGAATATACAACTTGAACAAAAAGTTGTTTAGAACAATTTTTACCAAATTTGCAAAATTTTAAATTGAAACGCGTAATTCTGTATAAGTAAACATGAAATATTGTAATTACTTATTTAATATCATTTGGAGTGTTTAACGACGAAAGGGTCATCTGTCCGTAGCGTCTTTTGTCAGAATATTCTTATATTTAGTGTATTATATACCAATATTGTACGCAGTTTTGAAACTGATAATTAAATAAATCATATTAATGTTAACTAACCATAATAAATGATAGAATTTCACTAAATTTAAATTGCCCCCGTATGGCTTTGGAAAACAGCAAATTGATATTTGATTACTTATAGATTACCACCTATATACAAAATGACACGGAGACCTGGAATATGGCGCCCAACTTGATTAGACCTTCCGCGCATGTTGAAGCTCATTCTCTATCCCTTCTATTTCTATGAGGCAAATCAAATTTCCCAATAGTTTTTGAACTAATATGTCTGTTTAAAGAAGGCTTAAAGTGATAAAAAATACATTAAATAAAACTTCCTAAGAAATATTTGAAGAGTTTATTAATTAATAAATTTAAAATAAGGCTGAATCTGGCTGAATGATGATATTTGGATTGAGAAATAAATACTCTAAATGATGTATATAATTGGTTGCCTAGTAATAAATATACACGTGCATTATCAGGCATCTCATTCAGGAACCTCCTCAGCTGGCGCATCAGAAGCAGGTTCTGTATCAGTAACTTCTTCAGTCACCTCAGTCTTAATTTCTTCAGTGACTTCAGTTGTTTCATTATCAGTTCCTGCATTTTCAGCTTCAGCTAAAATGTTAGTTTAGAATTTAATTATGTTTCGTGTTTTTCTTTTGTATTACTTATTTTTTTTGCTTACCCGTGACATTCTCGTCAACATCGGGTTTGTCTTCTGGGCTTTCTTCGACTCCCTCAGGAGGTGCTTCTTCTGTTTTGATGTCACCTTCACCCGTTTCCTCGGTTGGAGCTTCTCCAGTAGTTGCTGTTTCTTCTGTAGCAGCCGTTTCACCCTCACCTTCAATTGGCGCTTCAGCATCAGTTGGAGGTTGGCCTTCACCTTCTTTAACCGAAAAGTTATTGATTATTGATAATACAAACAAATCGGCCTAAACAAAGTAGAAAAAATTGGCAAAAATATATCAGCACCCTTCAATATCTCGAAAAGAATTTAACAGGGTTGTTGCTTGTCACCCACTTTGTTTAAAATCTATATCAAGGAAGCTCTGAATGTATGGAGACTGGAGACGTAAGTGCTCAGGAATGCGGATACAGATTGGTAATCATTGCTTGACAACCTTGTTGTTCGCCGTTGATCAGGTTATAGAAGCTAATGATGAGGAAGATATATTGACTATGCTCAGAAAATTGAAAGAGTACGCAGAATGGGGATTGAAAATAAACATGACAAAACAGAACATCTAAAAATGGCAGACGAAGTAGACCGGAAGTTAGAACTCAGCAATATAAAAACAATGTGAAGAATACAAATATTTAGAAACTATAATATCCAAGAAGGGACATCTAACAGGGACATTCAACTTAGAACACAACAAGGACAGAAATGTATCCGAATTCTAAATTCACTACTTTGGTCGAATAAAACAAAATTAAACAAACCGTTAAAATTTTTTAAATACTCTAAAGGCAAAAAGTGTTCATTTTTTACCCTCCATCTATTGAAAAAAAATATACAAGGTGTTCCATTTGAACGAAAAACGAAAAAAAAGAACATTTTAAAAAGTTTGGTGTAGAATTTTGAGCATCCTGTGCGATTTAAGATTGCCATATTTATAACAAAAATAAGTGCATATCAACTAAAGTAAATATCTAATATAGTTTTGATTTCAGGACAGCTTTGAAGCTTGTATTTTAATATTTTTTTTTTAAAAGGCTGAAAAATATATATTTTTATTTATTTATTAATATCTCTGAAACTATCGAAATATATCTACTCATATCTTAGGATTATGTAAAGTGATCTGAGAGGAAGCAAAAAATGCAATAATATACAGAGTGTTCCATTAAAAAATCATACCGATCCACTCACACTTTTTGAGCCACCCTTTATGTGCTAAAATATTTTCCTGAAATATATCTTAGAACTTACTTAGGTTTGTACCTAAACAAAATTCTCAAGTTTTTAATTCTATAGGAGCTTTCACAGATGTCCGACGCACCATTGCCGGACCCTATACCTACCTTCTCAGCAACATAGAAAAGTTACAAATATTTCAATAATCCCTGTTATATGTGGGCAAAACACCTACCTTGACCTACATCTTCAGTTTTTATTTCTCGCCTCTCAGCTGGTTGAGTTTCATCAGTACCTTCAGTAGGAGGTGCTGCACCGCCTTCCACCGCTTCTTCACCTTCAACTTTTGGTTGTTCTTCTCCAGGAACGGCTTCTCCTTCGCCTGTAACAAATTTTGAGACAAAAATACAGAGACAGAATACAATTAATAACGGATAGTACCTTCGGGCAGTGGTTCCAATTCTGTATCAACTAGACTTTGGTCAACTTGTAACGCTTCCTTTGGAACTGGAAATTCCTCAGTCGGAGTTGGAGGCGGAGGACTTCTTCTTCTCGTCCTTTTCCTCGATTTTGATTGCTGGAACATCCTCTGGTGCTGAAATTTAGTGTTGCTATACAGCGCGTCTTTTTAAAATAACACCGATAGAGTCTTAATATACAGGGTATGTTAATGTCATTTTACAGTGGTACAGATAAAGTCGGACTAGTATGAGATTTTTATTGCTTCAGGTAATGTTTTACTTTGAGTTTAGTTTTGGCTTTCTGTTTGGCTAAAAATGTGTCTATTGGTCGAATTTTGAGATGTAAAAACGCGGTTTCATATTATATACCGGTGCGTCTGGAAAAGTGGCTCACCCCTATAACTTTCATTTAAAATGAGATTTGGTATGTTAGTATATGACATAAATTAGGATTGATTGACGTATTCAGTTGTTTTGGGTCGCTTTCTGTCTCACCGGAAATGACTACAACTTTTGATTTTAAATGGCACTCTGGTATTTTTTTACTTAATTCGATAGAAAATGACACTCTGAATCGAATAACATATCATAAAAGTCCTCCTCCTCCTCGACTTGACATATTCGCTCAAAAACAAAACATATTCGCTTAAAACAAAAAAAAAAAAAGATTGAAAATTAAAAATAGAGTGCCATGACTGTTAAATTAATCACGGAGCCTTGGAAAAATAGATTTGATCGTTCAATGTTTTTAGTGTCTTGTCCTGGCCGGTTAAAAGATGCCCAAATCGTATTTTTTAATCATAACATAATTGTTTCAAATGGAACTAGAGTGGCTCATATTAGCCATTTTGAAAAAGCATTTTTTACGAATAATTTGATACCACACACTTAATATTTTGTAGTCAAATTGTCGCTATGATCCGCATGTTACAATTTCAAATAAACCATATGTAAAAAATGTCAAAGTTGATATATGATATGTCATTCTATTCAGACTGACATTTTCTATCGAATAAAAGTAAAAAAAAAATATAAGTATATATAAAAATCAAAATTTGTAATCATTTCAGAACTGAAGTGACATAAAACGATTGAATTTGTCAATCAATCCTAATTTATGTCACACACTAACATATTGTTTTATCTGAAAAAATAAAGTTATAGGGTGAGCCACTTTTGAGACGCACCCGGTATAAGGATACGAATTTTCCGGCATCAAATATATAGTTTTTGTTTTCTTTAACAACAAGCAGCTGCTGAATATTGTAGATCGAGCAGTACAACTGGAGCAAGTAACAGCACAACGCAAGCAGTAATTCTGGACTTGCAATCAATCGACAAACTCGTGAAAGATCTGACCGCTAAGGATGCCCTAAAATTAAGGGATTTCAATCTGTGGAACCAGACCAACTACGGTCACTCGAGGATATTGACGATAGGGAAAATCATGGGGAACACGAGTCCACATCTGCTAGACCAGGAAACGGACTATATGCTCACCAAACATGATTTTGGAGAAAGATAAAGTTCGCATCCCGACAAGAGAAGAATGGGAAAGCAACCTAGTAATGAACACTCAAGAGATAGCCTACACAGATGCTTCCATGACTTCAGGAGGCACAGGTGTAGGTATAGGCATCTCCTCAGAGGAACTAGACATCCGATGACGATCTTTAAGGCTATCGGATGGCTGTAATCTACAAGCAGAGGTTTACTCTATAAAGGACCAGTTTTATACGAAGGAAATTTGCTGATAGACCAATAGAAGATATAGTGATATACTCTGATATGATGGACTGCCAAGAAACACTGTTCTGGCTGCGTTAAGGCAAGACCACTCTGTGCTGGGTGCTAGGCCACAGCAATGTGGTGGTCAACGAGGAAGCGGACAGTCTGGCTAAAGAGGAGGCCAGGGGAGAGGTCGTGGCAGATGACCCACCACATGTTAAGATCAACACTTTGAAGGAAGCTAATAGGAACTACCATCACTAGCATCAAGAGACGTGGCAACACCGTGAGGAATGCGCCACAACTCGAAGACTCAGAATATAACTACTAGAACACAATAGAACCTCTAGTACGCATAATTGTAGATGTCATCATTTGAAACTTTGGGGGGAGTAACCCTCATGAGATGGAATGCACGACGACTATTGCAGAGAATGTGCAATATGCGGAGAAGAAGAAGAAACCATAGATCATCTGCTGTACCACTGACCAGCACAGGAAAAGCGAGGCTTTAAAACTTTAGAGGACGGTTTTTTGAGGGTCTAGAGTGGCTGGGCAGAAGCTAACATCAGAGACATAGGTAGCTTTGCAAAGAGCTGGAAGTGCTTTAACGCAAAGAAACAATGAGAGGAAGGATCTGAGTGAGATCAGGATCCCAAACCCCAGCAATCTATGCTAAGCTAACACTGTAGATCGTCTCGTACCTATCTCCTTAGATTTCCTTTCCTCCCTTTCCTTTCCTTTAGTACCAGGACCAGGAGCGAACAGTTTAAACTCATTAGGAAGTTCATCGTCTGTGTGTAGTTGATCGGTGAAATATATCCTTCGAATCCTCACGTTGGCATGTATTTGTACCCTTGTCGTCTCCATATAAACCGATCCGTAAGCTCTCTTAGTGAAATCGGCCAAGTTGAATTGTACTTGATTCCAACCGGCACTCAGACCAATGGGCATTGTCGTGCAAAAGGGTCTCACCTTGGTTGTGGATTGGAAATTTGATACCCTGAATCTTCGTCTCATATCTTTATCATCTAAATGTATAATACACAGATTTATATAGTGATAATAAATACATCTATGTCTAAATCATAGCACAAAAATAGTCAAAAATATCAGAGAATTAAGTTAACCCAGTAAAATGACACGTCTTTTTAAAAAATAAACATATTTCTTTTAACCCAAAAACATTCAGTTAAGATACTGACATATACAGGTGGTCCAAACTGTATTCTTGAAACTTCAGCAGCATATTCTGCAGATAAAAAATAAGTAAAAAGTTCGTATAAATATATATGTCTTAAAATGCTTGCTCTGAGATACAGGGTGTAGAAGTTTCATTTTTATTTTGATTTCAAATACTTGATTTAACGTCAATATTTGGATTAAATTGGTGTCTGGGAGTTTTTGACATGAGAAATTTGATTTAGATGTCAATATGACTCCTACGCAGAGGGCGCTATCTATATATTTCGTAACTGGTTTGAAGAGTAATAACTTTTCGTCTGTACCTTGTAAAAACTACTGAGTAAAAAATATACATTTAAGATATTTTACGTAAGGTCTCTTGGTAAAAATCGCTACGAGTAAGGGTTCTTGAGATATTTTGAATCAAAATTATCAATACTCGTCATCATCATTTTTTCGAAAGAAAAATTATGATTAATTTAAAATACATATGGAATGATATTAAATTCGAATGTCATTTTCTATCGAATAAAATAAAATATCATGTCAATCGATTCTGATTAAGATATTTAACATGCCCAAATCTCTGCTTTAATTTTGTTTAAAAAATAAGTGTTATAAGGGGTGAACCACTCTTGAAAATCAACCGGTATATGCGATTTTAATTATAGCTCAAACGAATACTAAATTAATAACAGCATTAACAACCGCTCTTGTGAAGTAAGTGTACCTAAATTGATAATGTAGAAATTCCATTTGCGATTGATAAGCGAAAACTGACATTCGCTTGATTAATATATCAGCGAAATTCAGATCCTATTCAAGATTTCGCACAGCACGTAACTTGAACGAAGCATACTGGAG